TAACGGATTTTTTGGTGTCAAAAGAACGAATCTTTCTCTAGAGGTCCTGTAGATTTGACGAACAATCAATGCCGATGCTGCGAGAAGATTAACCGAAATAACGCATATAATAAATTCTATTAATGCTCGTCAAAGATGGTCTAAAAGTCACAGTATCATTGCTTGATCTTCATCAAGCCCCTTTCATTTGCAACTTTGAAATAAGTTTCACGTGAGCCTAATTTGACATTAAAAATTCATAAGTAGCCTTGTAAGTAAAAAACAAAGCCTTGTACGTAACGATCTGATAGATGTGTATAGAAAATATTTGTATTGTGATATAATCATCGTTTGTGGTCATCCAAAGGGGATAAGTTCGTTTTAGTTATTATTAATTTGATCTCTAAAAGTAGAAGAGTATGTTGACATCGCTAAAGTTAAATAGGTGCTGTTTGACAGCTGCTTTAAAGAGATTTGATGACTTCATGTTTTTTATTTCTTCTTTAAGGATTGAATTCCATAGCCACGGTCCTCGAGATAAGATAGAGAATTTAGTTATTTTAGTTAACTTAAGTTAGATAAGTCTTCGGAATATTAAAGTTTTGAAAAGAGTACTTTGTTAGGTATTTGTGATCAATGGTGAAAAATTGATTTTCAAAGTGTTTTGGTAGTAAATTGTTTTGCAATTGAAACATAAATAACACATTTTGGAGAAGGTTCAGTTCATAAACCTTTAGAGCTCCAATTTCCCTGAATAATGGTTTGGCATGGGTATATCTGTTAGCATTACACATAATTCGACACGCTTGCTTTTGTTTTACATATATTTTTTTTAGTACTGAAGAGTATGTACTTGCCCAAACGATATTGCAATAGTTGATATAACTGTGAATAAACAAATAATATATATATTTTAAGCAAGTTTTATTTAGAAGGTGTTTTATTTTATGCATGATGCCGATTGACTAGAAGATTTTATTTTCGATGCGTAAAATATGATTCTTTCAACTAAGATTTTCTTAAATAATTATTTCCAGGATTTTCATGGAATGGTCTCTTTCTATATTAATATTGTTGATCATAAACTGGGGAAACTGAAGCGGTCAATTAAAAGAGTTAGATGATTTGTGAAAAAAAAGATATTTGGTTTTGAGGATGTTTAAGAAAAGTTTATTAGCTTTGAACGACTCGTTTAAGTTTTGCAGCTCGTGATTAACTGTAGAAAATATTGTTTTTATATTTGAGTGAGTAAAGAAAATATTTATACCATCTGCAAAAAGAGTAAAATTAAGAATGCTTGAAGTTAAGTAAATATTGCTCACATAAACTAAAAATAATAAAGGTCCAAGAATGGAGCCTTGGGGTACACCACAACTAATTGTTTGTAACCGTGTACATGTTCAGTTGTACGACACTTCTTGTTTCCTGTTATTTAAGTAATTTCTGAACCATTTTAGATTGTTGTTTGTTATTCCATATATCTCTAGTTTGTGTAGGAGGATCTCGTGGTCAACTGTATCGAATGCTTTGGTTAAATCAATAAACAATTTATTCAAAATATTCATTATTTTCAAAACCATTCAAAATTTTATTGACTAATTCAACTAATGCATGATATGTTGAATTACTCTTTTGAAAACTAAATTGTTTGTTATGCAGAATACTATTTGTTTTAAGATAGTTGTATAATCTACTGTACATAACATGTCCGAGAAGCTTTGAAAAATGAGAAAGTATTGATATAGGCCTATAGTTGGATGTTAAAGAGTCATTTTTATAAGTAGGGGATACTCTTGCTATTTTTAATTTATCAGGAAAAGCACCAGTTTTTAAAGATAAGTTAAATAATTTTAAAAGAGGCGATTCAATAATATCAAATACTGATTTCAAAGCAATTGCATTGATATCCCGGAATTATTTTTTCGGCTAAATTTTTACCAACGTTTATAAAGAAATCATTAAACATATCAGCAATTTTGTCTTTGTCAAAAACATCTGTGTTCATTTTTGTTTGTAAACGCTTTGGAAAAACAGTGTTAATGTTTTTTTGTTTTTTTCAGTTACTTCTTTTATTATATCCCATTTTTTTCTAGCATTATCTATTGAATTTTCGAGCAGGTTAGAGTAATAGTTTTTTTATATTTGTTTTTTTAATTGTTCAAAATAGTTTTTGTATTTTTTATATTTAGTTTTATTAGTTAAAGTTTTATTTTGGTTTAAATTATCGAAGAACTTTTGTTTTTGTTTTGAAGATTTTTTTAGCCCTTTTGTCATCCAAGGTTTTTAGTCAACGCAGGTTTTTAGAAGGAATTGTTTTTATGGACTTTGGAAAAGCTTTTTCGTATTTCGTTTTTCGTAAATTGTTTAAAAAATAAGCGCATGAAAAGATCATAAGCATAATTTGATCCATTTAATAGTTTATTTAATAATTTAATAGTTTATTTAAATAGTTATTTAATAGTGAAAATATGGAAACTAATTTTTTATATAATATTGCCATCAGACGGGCAGCTTCCGAAGAAGTCTACAATTTCTTATTAAATGCAGAAAAAAATGGGAATTTATTAAGAGAGACATTTATTTCTGAGTACGCATAATCACCGAAGAGATTTGAAGTGACCATCAAACGAAATAAAATACTGAACTTTGCAAATTCAATCATGTAAAAAGTAAAAATTAATATTAAAGTATAAGAGGTGAGATTAAAACGCAATTTAATTTGCCGCATGTTAGCTATTTCAATGAACGAAAATACTAACATTGAAAAGATTCTCACTTTTCCATTAACACCGGTTCCGATGTCATTGTGCCACTTAGACGGGTCGATATTTAAGACTGATAAATCGGTTTTACTGAAACTTTTAGAAAATGATATAAAAAGTGTAGCTCCGACACACAGGGACGTTTGTTTAATTGACGGTTTTATCTAATACATACTATGAAGTATGTATTAGATAAAACTATATAATAACTGTAATGAGCGTATGTACTTAATTTCTGGATCTGATCAAACAAGAGCCGCAGATTTTGTCAAAGAGCTTAGAAATAGCAACTTCATGGAAAGCTCCTGTGCGTTTTTTAATTGTCCATTGACAGAGTAGTGAAATAATACCATTTAAAAAAAAAAAAGTTTGATGCTTCATCGGTACCTCCATGTGCAGCTGATTTAAGACAGCAATTCTTAAGATCAATGAGTATCTCAAGATTGTGGAGTCACGTTCACAAGAAAATTCCAAGTAACTTAGTACTAGTAGATTGCAGATGGGAAATATTCGACTCCAAATACCAGTTCCAATGGTTCGATGGGCCTCAGATACCATCTATCGTTAAAGACGTTCTCATCGATGAAGAACAGCCTGAAGGTACAAATATTTCCACATGCTTTCATTTTTGTACTTGTTAATACTTATTTTAATTTTTAAATTTTGTTTTTCAGCACATAGTAACGAAAGCGAAAATGAGGATGATATCGATTGCGAAAACGAAGACGATATGCAGTACGATGAATCCGACGTCAGTAGCAAAGTAGAATAATTCGGCAATTTATTTGTATTATTTCTTAATAAAAAAATTGTTTTAATGGCAAGCATATTTTTTAGTACGTGTATAATAGAGAAATTATTAACTCATTGTCCTCACAATATAATTTAGAAAATAATAAATCTTTGCAATACAACGTACGTAACTATATTACTCGTTAATACGAGACCGCACCTTTCAATACAGTCTGTCTCGATATTATCTTTCATTTTTTTGTCTGCCATTCAACACACAGTTTCCTCACAGTTTACTGATAATTCTAAAAAAAGTTTAGTCATGAGGCTTATCATTTTTTTTCATCAAAGATAACGCCACTTTGTTGACCATTTCTCTTCCACGGAATCGTCTGCCAATAATTTTCTGCATTTCGTAGCAGCAAATACTTCATTTATCAATAATATTTATCCATGAGCATTATCATTTTTTTTCTATTTATTATTTGTCATCTTTGACCGTCCGCCCCCGCCTTAATCTTCCTAATCGCGCTGGCAAACTGGGCACTCGGTGTATAGGAGCGCTAATGGCACCTCTCTGGAAATTCATACTTTATGCAATAAATTATACTTATAATAAATTATACTTACTCATGTAATAATTTATACGTTGCTTTTTTATGTAGCCAGCTCTTTATCTAACTATTCTGAAGTTCATTTTACGACACTATTCCTGACACCATCAAGTCCTAATTTTAGTTTATTTTTTTCTTGAAAAAACAATAACCCATAATAACTTCTTAGATCAAACAGTTATAATTAAGCTGATTTTATAGTATTTACTATTAACTGATCCGCCAATGATAATTAAGCTAATTTTATATAATTTAATATTTACTTAAACTTAAATACCAAATGAAGTAAAAATTAAACAAACAATAAAAATAATAATTTTTAATAACAAACAACAACTTTTAGTTATTTTTTATTACATAATTCCTAAAATACAATTTCGCATATGTGGAAATAGCATAGTGAGAAAATTTATCATCCTTTAGCACAAACTAACAATCAAAATTATTATTAAAATTATCATTAAAATATTCGAAAATTATCATTATGATAATTATCATTGAATCCACATAAATGAAAATTTATCATCCTTTAAGCACAAACTAAACAAAATTTTTGGCGAATTTAAAAAATAAAGCGGGATTCGCGCGTATTGTGATTTTCGTACGTACCTGATGTAAATAGATTTTCTGCGTACCTGATGTAAGGTAACGATTGTATTCTATCGTCAAACATTAATTATTCTATTGTCAAGTATATATTCTTATCGTCAAATATTAAATATTGTTAAAAATATTGGTTGTTGAACTTATCGTGGTTGCATAATTTCATATAATATTTTAAAGCCTAATATAAAATGTTTGAAGCCTAATTTTTTGTTTACTTCTGGAAAAGTTTGTTCAATATCTAAAGCCTGATTTATATACGATGATAGATTTATATACGATGCCATATTATGTCTTCATTTTTGATATGTATAAATAAAATATTTTTTTTAAAATAGATTTATATATGATACCATATAATGTCTTCAAAAAGATTGGCAGAGGCGCATACCAGTGGACCTCCATCAAAAAAATCTTTTCTGCTTTCTGAACCAATTAATCTTGGACCTGTATCAACTGAAGTAAGTTTTAATTTTACTAATTGCTATATAGAATTTTATGCTGTTCAATATTCAAATACAAGCACAAACGTAATTAAAGAAAAGTCTTAATGTATAAATTAAATACTCAAAAAGCACTGATGTACACCATTATTTTTTAAAACACAACTTAGTTGTGGACATTATGAAGTAAACTTAAAAAAAAAACTTGGTAGCCTAGTTTTTTTTGTCTGATCACACTCCACTTTTTATGGTGCAAGTTATTTCTTTAATAAAAAAATTATGAAAAAGTTGTTTTATATTTAAATTTTATGCTATTGTTTTTAGTTTAAAAAATATTATCATTTAACATTTTGTTAACCTAAACATAGATTAAAATTTAGTTTTGCTTCTTTGCCACATTGTCTCAACCCTGTTTACTAGCACATTTATTGCAGATCAATAAAATGCTAAGCTTTATTTTACCATGATAGGTAAAAAGGTTTGCGTTGCATTATGGTTGCTATAATATCTATAATATATATGGAAGTAAACCAACTTCTTAACACTGCCAAATTTAAACTATAGAAAAATCACGGTACATAATTAACAAGAAATATTTTATTGAGAATTTCACCAATTTCTAAACGAAATGTTCAAATTAGATGTCTTTTTATTTTCAAATATATATATATTTATGTGAATCTTGATCAGCATGATATTCTCAGTTATAATCATTAATAAAAATATAATAAAATCATCGCCGTGGATAGCCTACCGAAATTCGGTAGCGGAAAAATAAAAATTATCCTACCGAAAGTTTTTTTTATTGGTTGAGAATATCACATGTCAAAATAAACAATATTTGTTATACCGTAAAATGAAGAAAATTTAACATATTATTTTTAAAAAACAAAAACGTAAAAATGTAAAAAATTAAATAGGATTTTCCATTAAATAAATAGAAATGACTGCCACCCCATACCAAAACCCTCAGTCAATGCATGTACATTACATAGCGCCTATCCCTATATTAGTAAACGTATGTGCACTTCACTGCGTCTACCCCTAAGCTAGTAAATGTATGTACACTTCACTGCGCCTATCCCTAAATTAGTAAATGCATGTACATTCCTCGGTGCCTATCCCTAAATCAGTCAGTGTATGAACACTCCATTGTGTCTATTAATGCATTGTGCTATTCCCAGCGTATATCTCTAAATAATTTTTCAATTAATAAGCGTAATAAAACCTAAAAAACATGGAAAAAAACAATAGAAATGTAAAATATATTCCTTAGGAATGATTCGAACCCGGAACGTCTGCGTTAGGAGTCAAGACTATATCCGATACAATACTGAACATTATGTCTACCTAATTTAAAAATATATTTATTTAGCTATTTTATTGTGACACGTGATATTTCTTAACTAATAAAAAAAAACTTTCAGAAGGATAATTTTTATTTTTCCGCTACCGACTTTCGGTAGGCTATCCACTGCGTAAAATCATCATCAAAATGTTTTGGGGCCCAATAAATAAATCTAGTTTTTTTTTTTTTTTATCAAGCTCCTCCTGTCAAGGGTTATGTTAATATATGCTAGGAACACTTCAATTTGTAGTTTTTTATTAATAAAAAAACCTAAATAAAAAGTTTTAGTTTTTTCTAATTTTTATTCAGTGTTTTATTTTATTATAGTTTGATGGGTATAAGGCAAAATATTATATGTTTATTTTTAGCTAATGTTAGCTACCCAACAGACATTTGTTTTTAAAAGTTATGTTCTAAATGTATTTTAAATGTCTTTTAAAGGTCTTCTAAACATTCTTACGTAAAGAAGGTTTAAAAGAGGTTTAAGAATCATCTAAAAGACAGGCCTTCTCGTAAGAGGTGTGCACGCCTTATATGACCGCGCATATAGTTCTTTGTTTTAACAACTTGACCACGGCTCATTGCAAATTTTGATAATTAGCCCATTTAAAAATTGGGCTAAAAAAAAAATTAAAGAATGATAAAATAAATAAAGGAAAAACCATTAAAAAAATCAAAACATCAGGCTTGGTCGGGAAGCGGGTGCGATCGCACTCGATAATTGACCACAGAAATAATATTTAGTTGCGTAAAACCAGTTAGATTTTTTTAGTCGTTTTGAGAACGTTTCAAAAACAAACAAAAAAGCGCAACTAGATTAACTGGACCGTTTAGAGACAGTTAAAAAAAGAAAACAGCTTTTAACGCCAAATAACTTTAAGCAAAAAAATAAGATTAGAGCAAATATTTTTGAAACTTTTATATTTTTTTTTATAAAATTAGGCGACATTTTTTATATAAAGTAACAACTTACTATTAATGATTGTTTAATAAAGAAACAAATGTTCTTTAATTTATCAACAAGTATAAAATTTTTATTTATATACTTATGTCTTATTTCCAGTGCTGGATTGAGGAGGTGGGGGAGAGTAGGATGGGGTAGAAGGGCTATAGCCCCAGGACTCACAATTTTAGAGGCCGCGAAATAGTCAAAAAGACCATTCAGTATTTTTTTTAGTCATTTTTACGCTGTGGCACATAATAAATGCCACTAAAGTAATGCAGCCCGCGGCCCTGAAAAGTCCAACAAGATTCAACCAGTAAAACTAACTCTAGATGATTTATTTATAAATAACAAGGTTTTTTTAATAACTGTTTTATGCTTCGCGTAGTTTGAAAAGTTTAACACATTTGAAACTATTCTTTTTAGTAAGATGAACAAATGAAATAATTAAATCATTGAGTTACTCTAGAAATTCAATTAACTAGATAGAAATTAACTAAAAACGTTAAATTACTTAGTGAGGAGGAAGCGGAACAGCTTCACATTACCGCTGATAATGTTTAGTGAGTGGGCTTTATAATTTAAAATAGTATTTAAAATAGAAAAGACTTAAGTATAACGAGTTTGTAAGAATCGCTGAAGCAAAAATAATTGAAGGTAGTTAACCAATTTCTAAGAACTTAAAAACTCTTTTTTCTAAGAACTTAAAAACATAAATTTAAAACATTTATTTTTGCAAACAATTAATCTTAATTTAAAACATTTATAGATTTGTAGATGTGGCTTCGAGAATGGCATAGTATTAAAATAAAAGTTCGTCTGAACTTATTGTTAAAATAATTTATGCTAGAAATCTCGACGAAAACATAACAAAACTCAAATAATACAACTTTTTAAAATAATTCAACAGAATACTCTAGAACATTCGGTTAGTATTTTTTGAACACTCTAGAAATTTCCGTTAGTATTTTTTGAACCAATAGAATTAGTTGTTAGTAGATTTGGCGGGTTTTTTGTGTTTGCAAATATTCTTTTTTTTATTTTGCCGCACAAAGTTTGAGAACACTTGAGTTTGTGTATGTTTCCGTGAAAGTCCGTAATACAAAATATTCTAAGATTTACGATAACTTAATAATTGTTTTGCAGACAAACAAGGAAACATACGTGAACTTGAATGTTCTCAAAACCACGAAAAAATCTGGCCGGTTTTTTGCAACTAAATATTATTTCCGTGGTCAGTTATCGAGTGCGATTGCACCCGCTTCCCGACCAAGCCTGAAACATGTATTAATTAATTTAAATTTAATTGGAAGCAAAAGTTCAAAAATCACAGCTCTAATAATCTTCATCATTCCTTCCCATGAATAAATAGGCTAATACAAGGGTGGGTTCATAGTGAGGGAAAGGTTCATGAAATTTAATAAAATTTTGTGGTGCAAATTTAGAATTTTATTAAAAAGTTAATAGGATACAGGGTGCAACAAATCGACAAATGTGCGTGTATTTCTTGTAAGACAAACAAAAAAAAATTATCATGTTTCTTTAATTTAGCTTATGCAAACGTTGCCGTTGAATTAAGATTTTTCAAAACAAATGTGTTACTTCAGCAATTTTTTTAAAATATTTTTCAAAATATTTTTATGATCAATATTTTTTTATTTATTACAAAAAACACATATTTAAAATGAAAAACAATTAATTACATAGACTTTTTTTAAAAAATGCCAAAGCATAATTACTTTTTTCAATAGGATCACTTTTAAAAATAAATAGAAAAAAACAATTATGTTTTAGCATGGTTTTTGCATGCGCTCACAAAAGTATCATAGTTTTAGTTAAAAAAAATGGTTTTGCAACTTTAAAAGAAACCGTACTTAAACAATTTGATTGGTTTCTTTTATTGAAGAAAGCAATTGTAATGTTTAAGCTTGGTTTCTTTTCTGTTTTTATCATTTACATTAAAAGTTTAAAGCAAATGATTTCATTATAAATAAAATTGTGCTTGTTTTTTTTTTAATTTTCTTATTTTCCATAAACTGAAATAATGTTTGTTTGCATAATAAAAACACTTTTAAAAGTTTTATTTATTGTGCGTTTATCATTAATTTGCGCGCGCTTTGCAAATGTGTAAAAAAAAAGTTTTTGAAAAATAACAATTGAATAAATTTACCAAGCATCTTTGAAATATTTGATAACTGATTAACTAGAATAAAAAATATTTGAAATTTGTTTGACATAAATCTCTTAAATTAGACGTTCGTCAATAAATAAAGATACGCAAGTCAACGTTCTTTAAAAAAACGGTACGTTACGCCCTGGAATAAAAAATAGTTGGCAAATGCGACTATTTCTAGATTATTGTAATCCTTTTTTTTTAGTAAATAATTTCTTTATTAGAAATTATAGTTCCATGATAAAAAGTTTTGTAATTATTTTTTGATTTACTCATTTTGACTGAAACTCTAATCTGAATATTTTTTTCAACAATTGCTTTTATTAAGTTGCATTAAAGTATTCAGGAAAATTTGTGGCAGTTTAATTGTAATTATAGAATCAATTAAATTAAAAATCGCATTTGTTTTCTTTTAGCACATTTTTTAAACGTGCTAATTATCGAAACTTCCAAAGAGATGTGGTCAAGTTGTTAAAACAAAGAACTATATGCGTGGTCATATAAAGCGTCCGATCGCACACCTCTTACAAGAAGGTCTGAAAAGAGGTTTAAAA